TGCATCTGTTACTGTATGTATGTACAAATTAACATGACAAAACATGAGATAGTTTACTAAACATAACAATAAGCCATCATAATCTGAATTTATAACATAACAAGGGTGACTATAAGTTGGGTTAGACTTTAAATTAATTTTTAAAATTCCATTGCCTGGTCTTCAGTTTTTCTTTTTCTTTCCTGAAGCCAGGTATGTCAGATGCTCTTTTTTGTAAATTTACCAAAAGGTAAAGCAACTGAATTTACGCTCCTGGATTTAATGGAAGCTTAGCAGAACTGGAGAAAATTTTTGAAATTGCAACTGGGGGATCAGAAGATGAAAAGATATCTGCTGCTGCCATTCTTTGCGGAGCATCCCTTATTCGGGGCTGGAATATCCAGGTAGTGAAGAGATAAGATAGTTCTAACATGAAAAATCTAATCACTTGCTCAGTAGTGTAGAGTGTAGACTGTAGAGCATATCCTTCTTCCTAACGACCTTCCCATCCTAATAGAATCTGGGTTGCTATTTTATGCAGGAACATACGGTTCATTTCATTCTTAGATTGTTATCTCCACCTGTTCCTGTAGAACACACCGAAGGAAACAGTCATTTGATTAATTACGCTCCAATACTTAATGTACTCTTTGTTGGAATTGCATCTGTTGATTGTGTTCAAATATTTTCACTCCATGGCTTGGTAAGTTTAATTCTATCCCTGATTTATACTTATTGATAGGACTTGGAATTTATATAAATGAAAGATGAAGATAAGCTCCCACAACAGATGAAATCCTCTGAAAATGGAACTAGAAGAAGAAAGATAAAATTAGAAAATTATGCAGAAGATAAGAAGGTGCAGACCATAGTGGACCATGGGACTCAGACCCTAGTACCAGCCTTAACCTTTCCACCAATTACTTGAAGTGTTCTTTCCCTCCTTCATTCTCTCCCTTTTTCTTTATTCCCATCTCCCTTCTCTCTTTTCACTCATTACCAATTCTGCTGCCCCATTCACACCCAAATCTACGGCCCCTTTAGTCTATTGTCCGCTTTCTACTCTATTACTCCTTAATTTTCTCTTCTAATTGTGTCTGGCCTATTCGTAATCAGCCTAACACCCTCAACTCTCCTTTTTCTGCTATAAACTTAGTTAAAGATGGCTAATTAGGAAATATTAAGTAGGAAAATTGATATATAGTTGCTTCCCTATGTATAAGACCCTTGTATATTTATGAGCTTGGATTATGATTCTGTTTTACATATATTTGAAACCCTTCTTTTTACTATTTGAATTAATGCATTTCCCAATTCTCCAACCAGGTTCCACAGCTTGCATGTTCATTGATGCCAATTTGTGAAGTTTTTGGGTCATGTGTGCCAAATATCTCATGGACACTAACATCAGGGGAAGAAATATCTGCCCATGCTGTATTTTCAAATGCATTTATTCTTCTTTTGAAGCTATGGAGATTTAATCGTCCTCCTCTTGAACATGGAATTGGAGATGTACCTACCGTCGGTTCTCATTTAACTCCAGAGTACTTACTATTAGTACGTAATTCCCACTTAATGTCAGCTGGTAACATCCAGAAAGACCGAAACAGGAGGAGACTCTCAGAAATAGCAAGTTTATCATCACCAAATTCTGTATTTGTTGACTCCTTTCCTAAATTAAAAGTCTGGTATCGGCAGCATCAAGCATGTATAGCTTCGACACTCTCTGGTCTTGTTCATGGAACTCCTTTTCATCAGATTGTTGAGGGGCTTCTTAACATGATGTTCAGAAAGATTAATAGAGGAAGCCAGAATACTATTACATCTGGAAGTAGTAGCTCTTCTGGACCTGGAAATGACGATGCCAATATAGGGCCAAAGTTGCCCGCTTGGGATATTCTTGAAGCCATTCCCTTTGTAGTTGATGCTGCTCTCACAGCATGTGCTCATGGAAGACTGTCTCCACGTGAGTTGGCAACGGGTATGTCTGTTTTATCAGATAAATCCATGGTAACACATCAAATAGCTTCTAGAACTCATGTTTTCTAAATTGCTGAAGATAATCTAACTGGCTGTTAGCAAACTTTAAGTGTCATTTGGTATTAAGTTTTTAAATTATTGTTGATGTCTTTGAGCTCTGAATATAGAGCAAGAGCAACCAAATTCATGTTCATTTAGATAATCCTTGATATGCACAACAATATCACGATACTGAAGTGCCTTTTTTAATATCAGGGCTTAAAGATTTAGCTGATTTTCTTCCTGCATCTCTAGCAACCATAATAAGTTACTTTTCTGCTGAGGTAACTCGGGGTGTTTGGAAACCTGCATTTATGAATGGAACAGATTGGCCTAGCCCTGCTGCAAATCTATTGAATGTTGAGGGACAGATCAAGAAAATTTTGGCTGCAACTGGTGTTGATGTGCCTAGCCTCGCTTCAGGTTAAAATCTTGACTTATAATGCATTTTTGGTAGTGACACTTCACATTTACAACTTATGTTTTTGTGCTACAACCTTATGCAATATATTAACCCTCAAATGTATCATTTTACACTGCTTGAACGAGTATTAATATCATTTGCTGTCTAGGAAATGTCTTCCTCTATTTTCTTTTATCTTCCAACATTAATATTAAATTATTTAGTATAGTGACTCGTCATCGTTTCCACAGGAGACAGCTCTCCTGCCACACTTCCATTACCCTTGGCTGCCTTTACAAGCCTTACCATAACCTACAAAGTTGACAGAGCATCGGAGCGTTTTCTTAATTTGGCTGGCCAAACATTGGAAAGCCTTGCTGCAGGTTGTCCATGGCCTTGCATGCCAATTGTGGCTTCCTTGTGGACCCAAAAGGCAAAACGTTGGACTGACTTCCTTATCTTCTCAGCATCTAGAACTGTCTTCCTCCACAACAGCGATGCAGTAGTTCAACTTCTCAAAAGCTGCTTCACAGCTACCCTTGGTATGAACAGCTCTCCTATCGCATGCAGTGGCGGTGTTGGAGCCCTCCTTGGCCATGGATTTAAGTCCCATTTATGTGGAGGGATTTGCCCTGTTGCTCCAGGAATTCTCTATTTACGTGCTTATCGGTCAATCAGAGATATTGTTTTCTTGACAGAAGAAATCGTTTCCATCTTGATGCACTCGGTTAGAGAAATTGTATGCGGGGGCCTGCCAAGAGAGCAATTGGAGAAGTTGAAAGCAACCAAAGATGGCATGAAATATGGACAGGTTTCACTTGCTGCATCAATGACTCGGGTAAAGCTTGCAGCTGCTCTAGGGGCTTCTTTAGTATGGATATCGGGAGGGTTGATGCTGGTTCAATTATTAATAAAAGAAACCTTGCCATCCTGGTTTATATCAGTTCACAGATTTGACCAGGAAGAGAAGTCAGATGGAATGGTTGCAATGCTTGGTGGATATGCACTTGCTTACTTTGCAGTTCTTTGTGGGGCGTTTGCTTGGGGAGTTGATTCATCATCATCAGCTTCAAAGCGACGTCCAAAAGTTTTGGGTATCCACATGGAGTTTCTTGCAAGTGCACTTGATGGCAAGATATCACTTGGCTGTGATACAGCCACTTGGCGTGCATATGTGTCGGGTTTTGTGAGCTTGATGGTAGGTTGCACACCTAACTGGGTGCTGGAAGTAGATGTACAGGTGTTGAAGAGACTGAGCAATGGGTTGAGGGAGTTGAACGAGGAGGAGCTTGCTCTTACTTTGTTGGGTGTTGGTGGGATAGGTACAATGGGTGCTGCTGCTGAACTCATTATTGACACTGAAATGTAAACATTCTCTCTATCCCGAGGGCTCTTTTGCCTTTTAGTAGATTTTGTACATTAGTTTAACTGTCATGTCTATAAAGTTGTGCAGCGTTTTAAATTGGCAGTTTTGTTTGAAAGGTACCCCGTATTAGGATGGAGAATTTTGTATTATAATACTCATCTAACATGAGATATGGTAAAACCCCATCGAATTTCATTCAGCATCGGTGTCAACCTTGTTTCGTTTAGTGACCGAGCGTTTTTCATACCAACATTCTTATTATGGTACATCCAATCCCAATCGTGCTGTGTTTGTATTAGCTGGTGAAAAAACTTCAAAAGCCAGTTTGACCTTAAAAACTTGTTGACAGAAGTACGTTGAGAAATCAAATTTCTGTGATTGCGGCGACATAAATTAAAATAAACAAGCCATAAGTTAACAACGTTGGGTGGTTCTGCTGAAAAATATCGTTTTTAGAATTTTTTATTTTCTTGAATTGCTTTCATTTTTACTCCACAGATGAAAAGTAAAGTGGATCCTCTAGAAATATGTTAGCATTTTATTATTTTTCATTTTTTGTTAATTTAGTATTTTTGTTTTACAAATCCCATTGGTTTAATTTTTTCAATAATGTATGTATACGTCTGACATGTGAGCCTTCTTTCTACATTATACTGTTGCCTTTTACCATCAGGGATGTTGTTAAAAGGTTTTTTGTGACAATTGCCCAAATACATCGGGTGATGATGATGATATTATAAAAATCTCCTGCATGTGATCTAATTTATTATTAAATTATAAGAGACCTCCCGTTGTACTAAATATATTAAACTTACGTAGAAGTTGAATACGTAAATAAACAAGCCATTTTGGGAACAAAATCTGTCAACAAATTTGTAATTTAACAGGAGAGATGGAAATTCTTCCATACAGGTAACAATCGTTAGACATTTTCAGATATTTAATCATTATAGAATACATGTAAAAGAATTTAAAAAAAAAAAAAACTCACTTCTAAACTACACGAACATAATAATAATTTACAATTCACATAAATCTAGAGCAAGAATAGCAGCTATGTGGATCCAGCAAGAATAAGACAGTGCTATCAGGTTAGGAAGCGCCAACAAGAATAAGACAGTGCTATCAGGTTAGGAAGCACATGACTTGTTCTGTTGTTAAGATTCAACTCACTAAACTAAGGACATAAACTTCAGAAAAAAAGAAAGAATTTCCATCATTCCTCCAACGTGATTTCAAATTAATATTTTTTCTCAAAAAAAGCAACCATAAGAGATTATTTATAATTCAGCAGTTGCAAAGTGTAAGAAAGAAAGAAAGGGACAAAAGGAAGAAAAAGTAGAGAATCACAGTCACAGAGAGTGAGAGGACGAAGAAGCTGCCTTGAGATAAATTTGCAGAAAATTCTGAAGGCACCTCACTCTCTCCTTAATGGCTTGCACATCAAACTTAATGGTTTCTAAGCTCCCCTTGAGGGACCTAACAACCACCAACATGTGATCCAATTGAGCCAACTCGTTCACCATAGAACGAGTTTCTTGTTCTTCGTGTTCCGCCACTATGGGGGCATAATTCAGCTGCAATTGGAAGGCGTTCATGTCTTCCATGGCTTTCGAGGCCAGATCCGTGATGTCCGAGAATGATAAGTGAAGGTGCTTCTTCACGAATTGGGGATCCACAACTAGGGATTTCCACCACTTGCACACGCACCTCAAATGCAACGGATTGCTTACCCTAACCCTAGCTAAGATTTCGATCATCAATTCCTCCGGCAGGACCGCCGTCAGCGCCGCCGCTGGCTCAACCATCATCCGCCGCCTCTTTCGCGTCATCATTGCCATGCTATAGGTTTCGATTTTCTTCGCATCAGGTTTTGTTCCGATTCGGGTCGGAACGTGTTCTGGTTGCACTTTCGTTTTAGGGCTCCGATTTTGATGCTTTCCAAATTCAAACCGTCCCGTTCAGTTACCTAAAATGCTAATAATTACTACTCCAATTAATATCAATAAATTACTCCAATTATGTTGATCTTTACAGATTTTGGAAATCAATTTCGTTTACTCATCATGCACACTAATTTTTATTTTTAAGATAATTTCTTATGAAAGATAGTTTAAAGTGCTGACAAGATCCATTAAAAAATTATTAAATTATTTTAACAAAGTAAATAAATTTATTTATATATATATATATATATATATATATATGAAGAAGAATGATTTAAAAAAAAAATAATTCATCGAAATAATAGACTAAACCGGTACGGACGTGACAAAATTTCAAGTAGAAAATATGTTTCTAAAATTTATTATTTTAAGAATTTATTTTTTAAAAATATTAAAAAATAAATAAATAGACTAAATTTTGTGCAGAAAAAAAAATATATATATATACATATGTTAAGAAATTTATTTATTTTGTAAAATAATTTAATAAATTTTTAATGAATCTAGTCAGCACTTTAAAATATCTTTCATAAAAAATCATGTTAAAAATAATAATTAGTGCGCATTGATAATATTTTAAAATAACTTAATTAGTATTTTAAGGACAGTAACTAGTAATTTTTTTTTAATTTATAAATTAGTTGATCTCTTTTTCATCTTTGGAGCATCTAAAATATGTAAACATTTTAAGAATATTGATTATACATAAAATTGCTACATAGATAAAAGAATATTAAACAAATATTAATCAGTTTAGTGTCTTAAGTACATGTGTTAGAGAGTAAAAAGTAATTTTTTATTCAAAATATTATTAACACTTATTTTATATTTTTTAATGCATTAATAACGTGATTGTTATTAAAATAATTATTTTTTATAGTTTAATCAACGTCTTTAGGATATTTATTCGCAAAACCTAAAGATATTTATTAAAAAGTAATAATAAGCTTTTATATATAAATTATAAGTTTTTGAATGAGAACAATTTTTAAAAAAATCAATAAAAATTTAATTTTTTTACCAAATATTATTTTCTACATTATGTATTTAGTTTGTAATTCAATATTATTTTAAATTTTATAATTTATTTTCAATTTTATTTAATTTTTATTATTAATAATTATAATATTTATTCATTTTATATTTATAAATTTAAAAATAGTTATATAATGAATTTTAATTCTACGTAAATAAATAAATAAAAAAGTATATCATTCAAAGGAATGGAAAAATTTATTTATGAAAAAGAATATAAGATGATTTTAACATTTTTAAAGTTATGGGTATATTGTATAAATTAAAAAAATGTATTCATTACAAATTAAATATCTATATATCTTTATGCTCTAGCAGCAAATCAAAGAGCTAAATAATCATTAATTTCAAAGGTAAGTTAAACATGTTAATTAAGATTTAAATAAATATAAATTTAACACAATGATTTGAATATTTACTTATTTATTAGTTTAAGTTTTATAAATGATTTATTTATTGTAATTAACTATATTTTAATTGCTTCTAAAAAAACAAGTTAGATATGATGTTTTAATAATTTATTTAATTAAATTTATATACATTTATAAATATATGTGAATTTAATTAAATAAATTTTTTATTTACTTATTAATGGAAGAAGTTAAGGAATCAAGATACTCTAACTGTATTATATACATAAAATTAATGAAACATCTAAAAAATAAAGTGGGCTCAATAATAATGTCATGTAAGCATGCTCTCAAACTTTATTCTTGTGTTTTCAAGAATTGAGTGCTTTGCGAGGATTTCTTGTCCTAGGTTGCTTTGTTTTAATAGTCTCAATGCTACCATGTCTTGTGGCCTCATAGATTTTCAAAGGTATCACAACTTGTTTGAAGGGCAAGTGTACCCGTCGAGAAGTATAAAATATTCTAAAATAAGTTTTTGAAATATCATTTCATAAGAATTGATTTTCAATCACTAAGAATTTTTTAATTCAATTATTTGAGTTTAAAAAATATGAAATTAAGTAAGAAATAAAATTTAATTATAAAATTAATTATGAATAAAAATAAATAATATAGCATACGACTTGATTAAACTTATATAAGAAGAACATAGGGCGTATGAGTTTTATATTTAATAATTTATGTTATTTTTTCGTTTAACTCTAAATTTTTTTTTTTGTGATTACTAATCATTTACACAAATAATATTAATACCTAATGATTATGGAATACTAATATTTTTTTTCTCTAAATTAATATTCCCTATGATCATCCAAGACATCAATTAAAAAAAGTATAAAACATTTATGAACTTGTTAATTTAATAACGATTAGAAGAGAAAGATTAATTTGATCTACCTAATCATTTGTCTTGTTTTATCCTATAGATCAATTAACTAATCAAAGTGCGGTCGCCTAACGATATAATTAATTAAGATTATAATTATGTGCAATAGGATAAAAACTAATTTCGAACCAAAACTAAATATAGATTTAAACTTCAAAATCTCATAAATGCATGAACAATAATTTCTATAGCCCTATCTATGGACTTAGTTACTCATGTTAAAGAGAAGAAATAAAATAATTGTAAACAAAGTCATAGAGAAAAATAAATTAGAAAGAGATAATTTTTCGGTATTTAAGTACAGTCGCTCAAAGCTCTAAGTCCCGCCAAGATTATGCTAACGATCCTATACAAGAGAGATAAGATGAGAAGTGTTTTAGAAAGCAAAACACAAGATGTCAAACTTGGTGCCTGAGGTCTCTTTTTAATAGGGTTTAAAAATCCTAAAAGTTCTTCATTAATTAGGCCTACCGCAAAGGAGCACGGTCGTGCAAGGCCGTAAGCACGACCATGTATGGGCTCGAAACACTCATGTGCTTGATGATAGGGTTTGTGCTTGCTGACTACTGCAAAGTTATATTTTGCATCCAATTTGGGCCCAAAACATGTCTTACACCTAGTTGTGGCATTTTTATGTTAAACTGCACAATATACAAATAAATCAGTGTAAAACTCAAATAAAATAAAGGTCAAACATCAATATATGAATTATAAAAGAAGATCTAATTATAGACTTATCACACCCAAAAGAAGACTACTTTTCTAGTAGCCTTTGCGGGATGGAGCGATTGGAGGCTGAGAAGCATACGACGGAGGAACTCAATCAGATGAGTCAAAGTATGAAGAAGATAAAGGTTGCTACTGATTCTCCATTGGAGGAAATGGGAGAAAACATGTAGGAGGAGACCATTGTAAATTTGCCCGTATATTAGGTGTCTACAAATCCTATTAGATTTAATTATGTTTCTTATAAAGATAAGATTCTTGAGTATAAAGAAGTAGATGTTGCTCTAGAAAATGAGAAAATAATTAGATCTGTTCTAGATGACTTTAATTTCGAACCTGATAATGAAGAAATAGAAGAAATTTCTGAAAACCCTAAAGATCTATGCCCTAATTTAAAATCCCTTTGGAGGACTATGAAAATTGGTGCTCACCCTGGAGATATACTTTAATAGTCAAACTTCTAGGAAAAACTATTAACTTTAACTATCTAAATTAGAAACTAAGCAGTATTTAGGGCAAAAATGGTTCCCTTAAAATCTTGAACATCAATAATGAGTTCTTTTTAGCAAAACTTGACAATATAAAGGACAATAAGAGAGCTTTATTTGAGGGACCTTGGCTTATCTTAGACCACTACCTCCTTCTTCAGAAATGGAGGCCCCTATTTAGGCCAAAAGATTATAATCTTAGAAATATTGTTGCCTAGATGTGCATTACTAATCTTCCATTGAAATTATATAATGAAAAGTTCTTGTGGCAGGTGGAAGCTTGCATAGGATTAATGTTAAAAGTTGACCCCTATACATCTCTATTATCCAAGGGTAAATTTGTCAAAATTTGTATAGATATAGACCTTAGGAAAACTCTTATTCCCTTTTTTAGGGTTCTAAGCCAAGAGTTCAAGGTTGAGTATAAGAGATTACACCTAATTTGTTTCAAATGTAGAAAATATGGATATAGGCACGAGATCTGCACTAAAATTCCTGAACAAAATAATGCCAATAATAACCAAATGAATAATGATGATTCCAAGATAGGAAAACAACAAGGAAAATTAGATACGATAGAGGAAGAATTCATTGAACAAACTTAGGATAATAAAGAGATTAATAATATTAAAGACATAGACCAAATTTGCCCATGGATGCTACCAAAAAACCTTTTAGAAAAAAAAATCTAACTAGTCTCAAATAAACAGTAGTCCTATTAATAGTGGAGAAGGTAAAGAGGCAAACTCAGGATCTAGATATAATATTTTAGGCTCCTTTGAGTCTCATAAGACCCTAGCTGATTATAATATGCAAAGAGTCAATCATAGTGATAGGCCTCTACCTAAGTTGTAACAAAAAAAAAAAACAATGGTATAAGGACTAATCCTCATAAAAAATAAACCAAATCAAACAATTGCCTAAAATTGTAAAACTAGATAAGGGTAGAAAGGATAATCCCTAATCAAGTATTTTGAATGACACCAATAACACTTTAGGTAGCCTACCAAAAGATAATCAGGATAGTTTAAAATAAATCCATCTTAGAACCTCAGATGAGAGGAATCCAATGAGTAAATATAATGGAAGTGCATCATATAACCATGATATTTGTTCAAACTATATTATGATTAAAATATGAAGTTAGTGATAGATAAAATCCAATCCCTACATTTTATTACTTTGTTCAAACTATATTACATGATTCTTTTGTTTTTTTTCCAGGTTTGGGTTGGATCATTGGTGATGGTCTAACAACCAAATTCTGGGGGGGCAATTGGATCCCCCCATGTTCAAAACTTGGCTTAATATGCCCTGCACCTTGCCCTACAGGAAAAGTTAGATATGCCAATGGCTTTCTTCACTACCTGGGGGAGTTGAAACTAGGCTAGAATTAGAAATTTCTTCCCTAATTCCATGTGTGACTCAATTGCACAAGTCAAACCTCTTGAAATAATAAGAGCGCAAGACCTTGTATTTTGGAATATTTCA